CCTTAAGAAAAAAAAAATCTTTAAAATCATACAAAGAAATTCTATTTTGGAAGGCAAACCCCTAAAACAGGGCCAGCAAGATAGCTCAGTGGACTAAATGCCTGCTTAGCCAAGCACAAGGACCGGGATTCGTTCCCTGGCACCACATGCCTTGCTGGCCCCACCCCTGGAGCAGGCTGAGCCAGCCACCGAGACCAGGTGTGGTGGCACACGCTTGCAATCCCAGCGCTGGGGAGGCTGAAAATAGTAGGATCACCATGAGTCCAAAATACATAGTGAGACCCTGTACCAAATACGTAAATTTAAAAAAAAAAAAGTAACACAGAAAGTCTAAAGAAGCTGCTTAAAAAAAAGAACAACAACAATAACAACAAAAATACTATTTAAAAATAAAACACTAACTTATAATTTGAAGAAACTTTCTTAAGAGTACACGGTTACAGTGATCTACAAATGTAGTATAATAAAAGACTCAGCTACAGACAATTAGGTGCCTTGCTTTCTAGAAACAGAAGAACCATCTTACCCACCCCACCCCTCACCCTCACCTCCCAGATAGCTTATGGCAGCTTGGTCTTTGTTACTTACTTAGAGACCAGATTTGTTCAACAAACTAAGAATCTGCCATCAGCCAAGGGAAATTCCTATAACTAGGCCTGAGAGCTAAAAGGCTAAATGCTAACAGATTAGAACCAGCTCTGATCCCAAGGTCAAGCTAAATTAATCTTAGATATTTTGCCAATAAATAATGGCAGGTAGTTTCTAAATTAGAAAGTCTGAGCCACAAAAGCAGCTGTAAACATGAGGATCAGGGCCCACTAATTAGAATTAAATGGCCATCTGGATTTGTCTTTTAAAAATTAATTATACCGTTAAGAACTAAATGCAAGGATTAAAATTTCACAAATTTCTAGCTAAATCAAAATGTGGTGAAAACTATGGGCATTTGACCAAATGCTAAAAGAATTTCAGCTGCTTTAGAAATAAAACATTTGCTTCCTACTTGAAGTAAAACTTATTAGCATCTATTGGCAAATACAGCCTAAGAAAAATAGGTAGTGGAGGCTCTTTATTAGATAAATATAATGCTAAAATCAATTGTTAAAAATCAAGATTTTGGAGGGATGCTTAGCTATAATTCACAAAATACTTAAGATAAACTAAATGACTATTCAGTCCTAAAAATTAAAACATGCACATTTCCAACACAGCAATCTACCATCACCAGAAGAAAATTCTTACACGGTCATGTCCACATTTCAGAAAATAACATCACAATTATTTAGCAGGACATAGTTGAGAATACCTTGTCTGATGATGATGAATGCATTATATTCTTTTTCTCCTTACAATGCAGGAATCTCAGGTTTCTATATTTTCAAAAATAATTAACATCATCTTTGAAAACACTTTGAATATGTGCATTTCACCAACTTGCTTACTTATTTCAAAAAGTACCATTTCAAATTCCTGTACTTTTATTCTGTCATTATTGATCTGCCAATGTAAAAGAACAGTAAAAAACAATACAGCAGAAACTATATCACATTAGAAATCAAGACATTTATCCACTCTGCGTGTGTGTGTGTGTGTGTGTGTGTGTGTGTGTGTGTTACCGTAGTAAGAACAGAACACCGAGCCTTCACACTTATCCGCAGTTCCAAGGCTCTTTACTCTGAGACGGGGTCTCACCAAGTCACTGAGTGGCCCAGGCTGGGCTAGAGTTAAGGACCCTAAAGCCACAGCTTTCCGGCATGCAATTATAGGCATGTGTCTCCATGTCTGAGTTTATCCCTTCATTAAACATGTATTACTTTAGTGCCAGACAATAGACACAAAAAAATTTTTTGTCTTAATACCCAAAGAAATATACTACTATATTTCATCAAATTTAAGATGCTATCATTTTTAAGACAAACTATTAAGAAAAGAAATGCTTTTAATTCTGACCTAATGCTCTACATGAACCACACCAGCCACTCACTGCTTTCATTTTTTTCCCACCTACTGAGGGAAATTTGACAATCTTTCCAGTATTCAATACACTGCTTGATGCTATATGTGGCATCTTTTTTCACATATCTTAGTATGAAAGAAAACTTCATCCACTTTGGGGTATCTTCTTTCTTAGCTCCTACAAAGCACTTTGTGTTACTTTTAAAGAAGAGTTAATGTATGACTAACAACAAGTGTTACATCACTAATACCAAATTTATATTTCTCTACTTCAGTTCTGTCCTTTTCTCTGTATTCAATAGTTTTTTGTTTCTGTTCCAGATCATACCGAATCTTTCTGAAAATATTGTAAAGGGTAATTTAAGATGACATACGTACTGCTGATACCATGTCTGTAATTCAACTGAAATAACACTGAATGTAACTGTAACTAAGCCTGCACATGCAGAGACATTGGTAACCTGATGAGAAGGCCACCTGACTGACAGCAAGTGGAAGACACCATCATCGGTTACATACATCCCACTTTCAAAGATAGGAAAATACACATCTCTTAGAATCAGAGCAATAATACCAGCAAACATTTAGGGAGCACTATGAGCACCATCCTATGTGCTTAACATGTATTAGCTCATGAAAACATAAAAGGGAAACAGACTACTGCTTCTACATGAAGACACTGAGGAAGGCAGATACAGTTACTTGCATAAAACATGAATCTGGCATCTGAACCCAGCAGGGTAAGCCCAGAAGCTGTACATTTTTAACCACTGTGCTGCACTGCCTCTCAAGTAAAGAATCAGTAGCTAGCTTTGCAACCTGAAATAAATCTTAAGAAAAGGGGCTCCACTATTTTGAAGAAGCAGTGGGGGAGGGAGGAGAGAGGAAGCGACAGTAAAAAGAACTAAGATGTGTTATGTACTTGTAGTAACTCCTTACAATGACTGTAATCATTACGCACTATAAACATGTACCAATAAACATGTTTTTAAAAGGAGGTGGGGCCTGGTCAGAGGAGGTGGCTCAGCAGGGCATGACCTAGAAGGATGGCGCTCCCTTCCTGGTTCCTTCCTTCTGGCTCTGCTTCCTGACCCCCAAGACATGAGCAGGTTTCCTCCCAGCACAACACTTTCAGCTCTGAAGCCAGCCAACCAGTGCCTGTAAACATAAGCCACCACCAAAATTCTCACCCTGCCAAAAAAAAGGAAGGAATCATTCTCCAGGATCAGAATAATTTTATAGGGGGCCTGGCCCTAGCTCAGTCCTTTAAGTGGCTGCTTCCACAAAGCTGTCAGGCTCAGATTGCTGTAGTTCGATCCCCACAACATTCCAGCCAGCCAAACCTGCCCTGAAGGCATTCGGAGAAAAAAAAAAAAATCCCAGAATAATTCTATTATTCTATTGCTGGAACTTTAGTATATGCTAATTTCTCCTTTGGCCAATATATTTCAAATATCTTCACTGCTATTAACTTACTAATGAAAAAATGTAACTTACACTATTAGTCTACAATAGTACATAAAATGGACATGGTGGCATATGCCTGTAATCCCAGCACTCTGGAGGCTGAGTCAGAAACCTCACCATGAGTTAGATGCCAACCTGGGAACACAGATCTTGCCTCAAAAAATAAAAGTAAAGTAAAATAAAATAGACATAAGTGAGTAGGAAAGCATTTAAGGAAATATCTACTAGAGCACTACTTCTTGTCTTTAGGGTAATGGCAAAAGCTGACCATACCCACAAATGATCCAATCTGTGCATTCTACTCTGCTGTGTACTTAAGTTACAGAAAAGTTTAGTTTGAACAATACAATTTCAATGCATCATATTTTTATGGCTACTTATAATACAAAGCGCCTATTCTGTGATTCTGCTCATGTATAAAGGGAAACCATAACAGATTAATAGCAGATGAAAATATTACAATATTCTCTCCCCAACCCAATTTAAATGTGGAATTAAATGAGCATCACACACTTGGTAACTCTTCTGCCTCAAGGGAAGTCCACCCTTTGAATTTTCTACAGGCTGAGCCAGTTGTCCTTCTTAACTTCGTTTAAGAACACAGACCCTGAAAATCAGGCAATCCAGTAATAATTAAAATAATTCCTAATATTTAACTTTGAACTTTTAGTACAGGAGAGCGGTCAATAAGGGAAAGGGATTAAAGTGCACAATGTCCTCAAGGTTTTCATTATTTATATTTAACTGTCAAATACAACATCAATTTCAGTCTGACTTAAAATAATCTGATTTCAAATATCTTTACTGGTATTAACTTATTAATGAAAATAATATAACTTTCACTATCAGTCTAAAACAGTACATAAAATGGACATGGTGGTACATGCCTGTAATCTCTCAATAGAAATCAGAGTGTAATGGGTCAACTCACATTTTAGATTATAAATGTAAATCTTATGCTTTCTGTTGTAAATGTATATTCACCACTGTTCTAAGTTGCTTAGTAAATAGTGGCTGTTACTTGTTGTTTGCTAGATAAAATTCCTACCTAACCAATCCCTGTAAAAAAAAGTTAGAGGACAGAGATGGCTTCATAAGGAAACTAAATGGGATTTAACTTCTTGTAACCTTGGGCTATGCAAGATTGCCTGCAGGTACTTACTCAGGTACAAGATAATCAGAAACTAAAACAAAGCCCCAGGAAATTTAGTTTGGGTAGTGGTCACAATGACCCTGAAAGCATTGTTTTGTATCAATGAATTTGTTTACCAAACAGAATGTGGTTTCATGTTTTAAAAGATTCGTGCTTCCTGTGATAGCAGCCTTTTGGTCCTCTCCTGCGTGAGAGCTGATGGGGGCCCTGAGCTCAGTAATAAACGGCTTTCCAAATTCCAATCTGGCTGATCTGGTTCCTATCCTGAGTGACCCATAACAAGAGAAACACTAAGAAGTTTTCTAAGGACAAAGCAAAACAAGGAATGTAAGTGAACATGGCAAAAGTGGGCTTAAAAAGCAGAAAAAGGCAGATGTTCAAGGAAGCTGGCTCTCACCAGTCCCCAGATTTTCCTATTACATACCTTGCCATGCTGCCCAGCCCGCTCGTAACAAATGACCACATCTTCCCACATTTCCAGCTTCTCAAATATTTGAAGGGCTGAACTGGTGCATCCCAACTCAAACAGCAAACCTGCAAGCTGGCGCTAAAAAACCCAAGTTAAAATCATTAATATTCCCTGAAGTAAAGAGAGATTTGTTTCACTTGCAAATGTATCCAATTTGTTTTGTTTTGTTTTGGCCGGGCCTGGCCAGGCCGACCCGGCTCGGGTAGGGTCGGGTCCGGTCGGGTCGGGTGGGGTGGGGTCGGGTTGGGTCAGGTTGGGTTGGGTTTGGGGCATAGTACTGCTGTATAGTCCAGGCTGGCCTTTCAATCACAGGCCTCAAATTCCTGAATGCTGGAATGGCAGGCATGTGCTGCCACACCAAGCCCAATCTTTTTAAGGACCACATACGTAATAAGTGTGTTTTGTTTTGGTTTGGTTTGGATTTTTTTAAATTTAGTATAGGGTCACTACACAGCTCGAACTCCTCCTATTTTTAGCCTCCCCAGTCCTGGGATTACAGGTGTGCGCCACCACACCCAGTCTTGGTGGCCAGCTCAGCAAGCTTGGGGGCAAGGCCAGCACGACATGTGCCAGGGATCCAACCTCAGTCCCTGTGCTTGCCTAAGCAGGCACTTAGTCAGCTGAGCTATCTTGCTGGCCCCACAAATGTAATAAATGTATGATTTCTGTAATTCAACCTTTACTATTTAGGAATCTGTCATGATCATATAACTACATTTATTTCAACAAGCCTCTTTTATGGGGTAAAAGCTTAAAACACCACTTAGAAATTTCTGTGTACAGCTCTGTGATCAACACTGGGAAGTTGACTGTACTGGGCCTCAATTTTCTTCCCACAAAATTAAAAAACTAGACCAAATAATGTCAGTAATCTTCAGGGCTAAAATTCTACAAAGTAGTAGGACCACAGCTATTCTACAGAAGGACATGGGACAGGATAGTCAACATGTGGCTTTACAAACTGCACTCAGTTTCCTCATATCTTCAGAAAGAGTAGTCAGACATACATCATAAAGCATCAAATAAATGCTTTCTGCTAATTTTTAAAACAACTCAGTTAAAGGTTTGTTCTGGGGCCAGGGAGATGGCTCAGTAGAATAAGCACTTCCCTGGTAAGTGCAAGGGCCTGAGTTCAATCCCCAGTTCCGCAAAAAAAAAAAAAAAAAGAAAGAAAACCTTAATCAGCTTTTCCTGTGAGTGGCCTTAGGTGACCTGTGAAAATGGTTCGCTACTCTCTCGACCCAGAAAACCCCACAAAATCATGCAAATCAAGAGGCTTAAATCTTTGTGTTCACTTTAAGAACATGCATGAAACTGCCCAGGCCAACAAGGGTATGCATATCTGAAAGGCCACCAAGTATCTGAAGGATGTCACATTAAAGAAGCAATGTGTACCATTCCAGCATTACAATGGTGGAGTTGGTAGGTGTGCGCAGGCCAAACAGTGGGGCTGGATACGGGATCAGTGGCCCAAAAAAAGTGCTGAATTTTTGCTGCACATGCTTAAAAATGCAGAGGTGTAGATTCTCTGGTAATTGAACACATCCAGGTAAACAAAGTACTCAAGATGTGCTGCCATACTTACAGAGCTCATGGCCGGGTTAATCCATCCATGAGCTCCCCCTGCCATACTGAGATGATCCTTACTGAAAAGGAACAAATTGTTCTAAGCCAGAGGAGGAAGTTGCACAGAAGAAAAAGATATCCCAGAAGAAACTGAAGAAACAAAAACTTCTGGCATGGGAATAAACTAAGCATAAAATAAATGCAAATAAAATTTAAAAAAAAAAAAGGTTTGTTTTTTGGCAGAAAGATCTTAAATGATTTTTAAATATAAGTTACTTTGAAAATGAAAGCATTATGATTCTCCAATGATTTAATTCTAGGAGTCTACCTAATACTGTATAGTTCTAAATTGTTTTGAAAATATTTTAAAACTCTAGTATCACTTTAATCAAAGTAGTAATTTAAAGTAGCAATGTGCAGTTAGATGCTTTTATTATTTTCACAGACATATTTGAGAATTCAAACATAAGTTGAAATTATTCTTTTCTAATACATCAACCTTTCTACTGCAAAGTATAGTATTTTCCACACCCAAGGACAAACAAAAGTACCTGGATGGCCCAGTGAGGTGGTACTTGACAGCAATAGAAAATTTTCAGTCGTTCTAACACAGACGTTGCTTTATCTTCAAATTGATCTGCAAGGGCCTGAAGAACACATATAAAAATCAGGATCCACAGGTGAAATAGCATTTTAATATGAACAAAATTCCCACTGCAAAAGTTACACAAAGGCATATATAAGCAATACAAAACTCATTACTTTGATAGGTGTTGAATTTTTTCTTGCGTTTCTTTAAGTGTGCAAAAATGTTTTAATCAGTATTTACATAAATATTTAAAAAGGGCTGGTGACATAGTTCAGGGCAACAAACCCTGGCTTCAATCTCCATACTGGAAAAACTAAGTAAATAAAAAGAAAAAGATAAAAGAAAAAAAAAAAAAACTTTTTCTGGGCATGATGGAGTGAAGGCTGAGCCAGGAGCACTAAGTTCAATCTAGGGAGATATTACCTCAAAATAAAAAATTTTAAAAGGTCTGGGGGTAGCTCAGTGTGAAGGGGGTGGATTCAATTCCCCAAACTAAGAAACAATAAAAGATAACAATAATAATAAAAACACTGGGCATGGTGGTTGTAATCCCAGCATTCAGGAGACTGAAGCAGAAGGATTGCCATGAGTCTGAGGCCAGACTAGGACACAAAGTGAGTTCAAGACCACCCTAAACTGCACAGTAAGACACTGTCTCAAATAAGTAAATGAATAAACAATGAACTAAAATATGAAAACCAAAAGCTAAGAATTAAATAAAAACTAAGATTTCCCTAAATAATCCTTTCAGTGATTTTTTTTTTTTTTTTTTTTTTTTTTTTTTTTTCAGAACCAGGGATTGAACTCAGGCCCTTGTGCTTGTCAGGCAAGCACTTATTCTACTGAGCCATCTCCACGGCCCCTGAACTTATCTTATTGATAAAGCTTTTTATTATTTTTTCCCTGGTAGTATTCAGGATTTAACCCATGACACATTACCACTAAGCTACATCCCTAGCTGTCCTTTTGATTTTTTGTTTCGAGACAGTCTCATTAAATGACTTAGGTATAATTTGAACCTGTGATCCACCTGTCACAGTGTTCCTCAATGTTCGGATTACAGGTGTGTACCACCATGCCTGGCTATTTTTACTTTCTAAAGAAAAAAATCTTCCTTAGCATATCTGTTTTATGACATAATGCCACTTTGACAAAAGCATACTCTAATACGAAAACCGAATTGTCAAAAGAATTTTATTTCTTCAGTACTAACTAAAGTGAAGAAAGAAAACTAAATCCTTTTGTCACAGAAAGCAAGCTTCCTTGCTCCTCAGCAACAAAGCTTTAAGGCTGAATATCTACGTGAGACCATCTGCATGGTATGGTGGCCAGCTGCGTGCTGCGTGCACTGAACAATCCCTCTGATGTACTGAAACACTAAATAACTAAATTCTTGGAGGCTGCAACTAGAAGACCAAGAAGACCGACAACTAGGCTGGCTCTGAGATAAGGAACCGGGCCAAAGGCAAAGTCAAAAGGTGGCACTATTAGTGGTCAAGTGATTCCAGTCATCAAAAGAGCTCACATACACAGTATATCAGTGTGTGCAATACACCCTAATCTCTAGACAAACACGTGGACAGCAACCTCAAGCCATGATCATCTGCCCCCAGCCCACCCCTTCACCTGTCACTCACCTAATACTATGCATATGTATTTTTCTGATACTGCACTTAGCCCTCTCAACTGTGAATTATCATGATCTTTATTCCATAATGCGGTATTCGAAGGGTTTTTTTGTTTTTGTTTTTGTTTCCATTTTTTGGTGCTGGGAATCAAACTCAGGACCTTGAGCTTGCCAGGCAAGTACTGTGCCACTAAGCTGTATCCCCAGCCCTCTCGAGTTATCTTTTTTTTTTTTCCAGGTTTCAAATGAATTTTTATTTACTATTTTTTATGACTATAAGTAAGTGTTTCCACTATGGAAAAGAAAGTTAGCACAGTACATTTTCATAACTAAGGAATGGATTTTCTGAAGTCATCATCAATAGGGTAAAAACAGAAAAACAAAACAAAAAAATGGCCTGAATGTTGGAATTCAGTTCTTTATATAAAGTCCCTTGTAGAAACAAAACAGAATTAAAACCAAAAAAGGGGAGGGCAAAATTTAAGAAGGAAAAGGAAAAGGAGAGAAGAGGACTCATTGCTTCTCCGACTTCTCTTCAGCTTCCTCTCCAGGGTCCCTGTTCTCCTCCCTCACAAAGAGCACTTCTAGGGGTCCTGAACAGACCCAGAGCGCAGGCCGGCGAGTGAGTGAGACCACCCGGCCGCGGGATCCTGAGCAGACCCAGAGCGCAGGCCCGGGAGTGAGTGAGACGACCCAGGCCGCGGGATCCTGGAAAGACCCAGAACGCAGGCCCGGGAGTGAGTGAGACGACCCGGGCCGCGGGATCCTGAACAGACCCGGAGCGCAGGCCCGGGAGTGAGTGAGACGACCCGGGCCGCGGGATCCTGAACAGACCCGGAGCGCAGGCCCGGGAGTGAGTGAGACGACCCAGGCC